TAATTGAAGTCATTCTTTTTTGAACAAAACTCAAAACAGAGCAAATTAATCTTTCAGTCATTTCTACACCCTCCCAAAAAGAAAAGAACAAAAAATCCCACATGCATACTACCCTTTAGGGCTAAGCCCCAGGTGTTTCAAATGTCTGGCTCCGCCTCTGCTCCAAACCGCAAGTAAGTAATCATTTTTTGTCGTTTTTCCCTGCTGTCCCACTGGACTGGACGTTAGTTTAGTTTTGTTTTTTTTTAGCTACATCTGGTGAAGTTGTGGTAAAATGCTGGTGTTAGCCTATTCGTCGTAGCAAGCTAGCCTGAAGCTAATATTTGCTAAATTTAGGGACACCCGTGTCTCTTTAGGAGTTGGAGGCCGGTGTTTTAGGAGCGGCACAAGATCTCATCAACAGGCAGTGTTGGGCAGTAACGTAATACATGCACCAGCGTTACGTATTTAAAATACAAAATATGAGTAAATGTATCCGTTACAGTTACTGTTCAATAGGTGATATTGAGAATACAGTTAGTTTGTTGAAATAAGTGGATTACATGGCGGTATTTTCCTGTTTCATATGTTAGGCTATGGTCTCTCTATTTTTGGTAATTCCACGCCGGTGGAAACCCAAACAAAACGCGCAATAAGAGCCTCTAAAAATTATTATACAAAATGATTTAATATGAAGGCAACAGGCAGAGTGTTACAGGCATCGCCCTAAACAATGTAGCATCATGGGCAGTGTAGTCCGTGCTGCAGGGAGAATGGACTGCCATACCCGTGATGTGTCTGTGAGCGAGGAGGGAGAAAAAGGAAAAGTACGAGCTGCCACGGAGCAGAAACGGGAGCTGGAAGCATGTAAATATAATAACTAATGCAGCCAAAAAGAGTGCCTGACAAACCCAGCTGCAAGTAAGCTGTTAAGACTCGACTGTACACCGTGTTCGTGTTTTCCTCTGAAACAATAAGCTCCGTTGGAGCAGCCTTTCAACGCCTCTCTCTGTCTCTAGCTAACAAAGTCGACCCAGACAACAAAGTAAAGCTAGTTTTCAGCTACGAGCCCGACACGAACCCGACGTATTAGCCAGAGGTCCCTTTACTACGGTTCGGAGCCGCTGACCTGTTTTATATACGCGCTGAATAGTTTTCTACACGAGATTGTTGCAAAAAGTGCAGCCTTACCTAATGTCCACCTACTGTTACTCATTTATATTAAGATTTTAACATCTAGTTGGCATTGGTATGGCGAGTAGCCTTCAGTAATAGTAATAAATCACACAGCAATAGTACATTCATGTAGTTGTAAAGTATTCAGAATACATTACTTCTATAATCTTTGGTGGAATACATTTTAAAATTAACCTTCCCAACACTGGGGTGATTAATCCTTTTGACTTTTTGTCATTAATTTATCAATAAAACAGCTGCAGCTTTCACTGACAGTACCACATGTACCACAGTACATGTGGTACTTTAACCTTTGTACTGTTTTCTTCAGTTAATTTTGGAGTTACTACAAAGATTGAAGCTATAGGATGATCTGTCTGCTGTCACTGGGTGGTGCTGAGGTCTGAATCTGAGGACGGCTCCTGTAATCACAAACAGAACAGAATCATCATAAACTGAAATATAAAGTTTATCTCTCAAATCTGAAATAGAGCTGATCCTTCTCTGTCCTCACACACTCGGGATCTGAAGTTGTTCAGTCTACAGTTCTGCCGACAGCTGTTTATTTTTTTATTTGTTTTAAAGGCCTTATACTAACATTTTCTAATATCATGTTTACCTTTGAGTTGTTGATGCTTTATAAATGGAAATCTGCAAAGATGAGATGATGGAGCAGGTTTCAGTTCTGGTTCAGTCTGCTGCTGCATCCTGGTCACAACATACGGAGGTGTTATCAGCAGTGAACAAGAAATATTAATGCTTCAAATTATTTGTCCTAAAGGATGCAAGCTGTACAGAGTACTGCACATGTGACTTTGTGAACATAACTCATTAAAAATAATTCGGACAGTTTAACCTGAATATTTGTAACAAACTCAGTAAAAAAAAAAAAAAGCTAAAATAATCAGAGGAAAAAATGTAACATTTTAACTTAAGCTGACAAGCGGAAGTAGTTTGGTTTCAGTACATAAGTATCGGGCTTTGCTATTTGCTATTGACTAATGTGAGGTTACTGAAGTGCCAGGTTTTTAAAAGTTGGCGTTAATGTCCTTCCGCATGTGGAAAGCGACAGAAAACATGTTGCTGTTTGCACATATTTAATTATCAGCTCTGCACAGGAGCAGAAGCAGAGTCCAGCCTGTTGCTCTTACAGTATAATAAAAGTACAGTAACTGTGGTTAGTCACTGAGCAGCCCGATGCGTTTCTCTTGATTTCTAGTCAGGGTAAATTCATTCACCTGCACGGGTTAGCTAAACGAACTATACAAAACACGTTTCCCCGACAGCCGAGTGCTCATCTTAGCTAGCTAAGGTGAGCACTAGATAGGTAGCTAGCTAAGGACCTAAATTACGGATTAGCTTACAAACACATTTAACTTACCAAAAATAATGCGGTGGGGCCTCAGGTCCTCCTGTCCGGTAGTCCAATTTACTGAAGAACACCTCAGGCTGTCACTTTGAAATAGTCGGTAATGTAAACGCTGGACCTCTCAGCATCTGCCATTCCCGAACAGACACGTGCAAGTTTGTCCGTGACCGCAGCCGCGTCGTCAGTGTTTTCTCCAGTCATTGGTCAGCATTATAATATATGCAAATACATGCGGGTCGGAATCCCCGCCCCCCCAGCGCGCCCCCGGACGCCAAAACAGTGCCAGCAGAGTGAAACTGAAAAAAAAATTGTAAGCGCATAAAACAAAAAAATTAGTTTCAATTAATTGTTTTTCACTATCAATCTTTTTTCGGTTTCAATACAAGATTTTTCAGTACATTTATTTCAGTTACAAATTTTTTTTTTTCAGTTTCAATATTTTTTCCGTTTCGTTTCAAGGTGGCATCGTTCTGATTCCATATCTTAAAGCATCCATAGTTATTTAATCCATAAAAGTAACTAGACAGAATTACACTAAGTATGAATAGCTGGAAGTAATCAGCCTGTATAGAACTTTTTGTAGGTTGAATAGTTGTACCCCAAATCAAACATTACCACCCACGTGCCAATCGCATGTACGGTTCTAGAGATATGAAGGAAATGGGTGATAACGAGGGCAACTTTAGCTCATAACCTCGTCAGGAAGGTTGCAGGATGCTAAGTGCAGGAGTACAGGGTGTTTCCGCAGGGTCCCAAGTTAATAGATATGTGACAAGACCCACTTTGAGTGAGGTTTTTTTTTTGTTTTGTTTTTTGTCAGTCCCGAGTCAACCTACCGTACTTTGGAGGAGTGCATTTCAAGTCATTCTGAGTCGGCTTGTATAACTTTCCTGGGTAGGTTTTGTGAAATCCAGACGGGGCTTGGAGTGGTTATGGTTTGGGGAAAGATGCTGGTAGGGGTCCGGTCTATTGACTGATAATGGTTTGAAATGAAGGGGGACTGGTGATGCACAGGAAAAAGAAGACCTTTGTTGTAGAAAGCGTATTACTTGTTGAAGGCTCACAGTCAGTGGCCTATTTGTACCTGGATAAACATCAAATCACTGATTTTTAAAGCATTAGTGGCACATATTGTCCATTATAGTACTCTGTGGTTAATTCCTAAACTACTCCAGTGTTGGTCGCCTATCCCGATGTGTGCTGATGTCATAGTTTTAAAACTTTCCCTGACTATACTGGTACCCTGAACTTATCTTCAGTGTTCAACAGTCTGGAGCAAAATGATTACACTGAGGAATCTGTGCTCAACAGTAATCAACGGCAACACATTAGCAATCCAGATGGCGCTGACTCCACAAGTAAATTAGACCCCAGGCCGATCCCACAGCACCCCACACCCCCTGTCACCTCACTGTAAAGCCCGGTGCCTTTGGCCTGGTTGAGGTCTGGTGTAAAGACACTGTAGATATTTTTGCAATCTGACCTGTCTGTTTTTTTTCCCCCCACCTATTGCATATTCATGGACTAATCTGAGTATGACAGGTGGTTTGTGTTGGTTTTTTTATATTTTATATATATTATATATATTTTACATATATATTATATATATATATATAATATAAATATATATATATATATATATATATATATATGTGTGTATGTATATATATATATTTTAATTTATTTATTTATTTTTACTTATTTACTTACCCCCGAGGAATGCTATGCTGCACCAGCTTTTCATACAAATTATAAGCAGTGAGGAGTTTTGGTTCAAGTTCCCACATAACAGAAACATGGCAGCAGCTACATTACCTCTGGTTTGCCAGATAGAGGCAGTGTTGTGTTGTTGTAGGAACAGGTGGATGTAAGGCATTTTGCTTGGGGGTGGGGGGGGGGGGGAGTTGTAGGCGTAAGAAGAGGAGGGGGCATTGGGGAGTTGGTACCTCACTGCCAATGTTACCCCTGGCAACCTTGATTAAGACAGGATTATGTTAGCACAATTGCTCTTGTGATGATTACATAGTGAATATTTCTGCCCACATGTGCAGGAATGCTTTTTTTTGTGCAGGCTGTGGGCAGCTGAGAGGTCCGGCGGCTGGGTCGTTGTCTCTGACAGGCGTGTAGTCGGGAGCACAGATAAGCCAACCGACTGGCAACCTCCCAGCAGTTGGGGATAGCCGTGTATGGGTAGCCTCAGCGAAGGAGAAATGTCACTGATAAGAATAATAATAATAAATGTTTTAGACACACTGTAAAGTGTTGATCATATAGATGGTTCACAGTATGCAATGCAAACATGCATAGTGAGAGCAGGAGCATCCCTCCTGCTCTCCTCAGACATGCAAGGTCAGCGCTGGTCTAAAGCTTGATTTATTTATTTTTTTGAATGTATAACGCTGACCTGCTTCAAAATCTCCCCTATTAAAGCAGATTTCTGACTCACTCCTGTGCCCTCTGTTTCCTGTTTTAACAGATTGCCTTCTCCCAGCACAGTAACTTCATGGATCTGGTGCAGTTCTTCGTCACGTTCTTCAGGTAAGCGGCCCTCCCCTGTCAACTCGCCCGCTCCTCCACCAGAGATGCCCGGGCGTTAATGTTGCTGCACTCACCCTTAATGTGTACATACATGTGCCTGTGTTCAACGTGAACGATGGTGATGGATTACCAAAGCTGCTTTCCCCTTTTTATACCAGCCATTTTTGATTCTGCTGTGCCTTACACAGCCTGACGTACAGTGTAAAAACATTATTTTGTGGCAAACGTGTTAGTAAAATGTGCTATTTGTGTGTGTGTTCGTTTGACCCTCCTGTTAATCACTGTGTTAAGCAATTAACAAATGTTAAAGAAACAGCGTAGCACCACTTCCCCAAATAACCCACAAAATATGTAACGTGATGAACCTCATTATGCAATGCAAGGTTATTTTAAAAGTATGTGTCTGTGAGAAAGAAGCTGTGAGCTCGAGAGTGGAGTAGAGACGTTGAGACAAACTGTGGCGCTCTGGCCTGGACTGGTAAGGGCATCGTAGGGAGTGGGGGGCAGTTATATGAAAGCACAGTGCAAGGCAGCCGTGGCTAGTGTGAGATCACCCTTAGTATATGCCTTAAGACACTCCTACAAGAAATGGAGATGACCTCAGTCATTTGAAGAATTGAAGGTATTCTGTTGATGCTATCTTAAACTGCAGCTACATGCTCATGTTTGTATGGCAGCTACTCACTTAAAAGATACATGAGCCTAAAATTCAAAAGAAGCATCGTTAGAATCAGAGTTAATTCCACATTCATAATGTTTGCTTTGCTTTGAAGTCAGGCACATACAGTAGCCCCTGTATCGGCTTACTTCTGCAGTTTATGATGCCGTGTTGACTCAGATGTTAAAATGTACGATGGCACGGAGACGGAACTGTTTTTTGCCGTCTTGCACATGAGTTTGCACACATCTTCCTGTGATGTATCTGTTATGTTTGAGTGACTCACCTCTGTGTCTTGACTGGAATTTAAAATGAATTTCTGGAGTATTGTTGGCACAGTGATGCGCTACTTTGTAATGATGGAGATGCAGTTTGTTTTGGTTTTTTTCCCTGGCAGGTCTAAAAATGTGCATATGTTCGGCTTGGACGAATCCCCGAGTCTGTGCTCGACGTCTTCAGAAACTGCTGTAATGTGTTATCGATTCAAAAATGAGATGGAACAAAAATTGGATACACAACTGTGTCCTTGCATGCTCGACTGCATGTATGGTATTTCTCTCGAGTATCCAGCGTGTGTTTGTGTTTGCGCGCCTCCAACCCAGAGGAGAATTGTAGGACTCTTTTCATGTTTGTGTGCTCGCCACATTGCGTTGAAGAAATTGCCAGCTGTTCTGAGTCGCGCTGTTTTTATTGATCCGGCAGCCATGTAAAGGAGGATAGATTTGATCAAGCTGCTTTGATGGATCCTTTTTTTATTTTTCTGACCGGCCGTTCGGCTGTTCGACAACGTGTTTCAGCATCAGCTGAATAAACCGCCTTTCTCTCCTGAGGTTTATTTTGGATGCGTTCGCCATTAAAGGCAGTAGGACGGCATTGTGCACCTCAGTTCCTCTGCTTTCACTTAGAAACCCCGCGATTACTGGATTGTGATGCTGGTACGTTTATTGACATGCATCAGCATTTGGGTGTTTGCATGTCAGCAGAGCAGCTGTGTGTAGGAAGCAGAGTCACAGCGATTCATAAACAGAACCATCTTCCCGTTGTGCTCCCTATTTCTCTACTCTTCCCCTTTCTGTCTCTCCTTCATTCATCATTTTTTAGATTCCCCCGCCTTCCTTCTAGCTGCTCTTTTCTTTTTTTCCCTATCCCCTGCTTTTCTTGTCCCCTGCCTCTTTCTTATCCTCCCCATTTCCCACCTTCCCACCATGTTCTCCTCTGTCTTTCTCCTTTCATGTCTGGCTCTCCCATCTTCCCCTTCTGTTTGCCTCCTCCATTTTTTCCCTCTGTCCCTTGCCTAGTTTTCCCTCGCCTGTCTCCACAGCCCTCCCCACCTTCCCCTGGCTTGTGTTTTTTTTTTTTTTTTTTTTTTTTTTTTTTTTTTACTCCTAGCCTCCCACCACTCCCTCTGACTTGCTCTTAATCCCACAGCGCTGTCCTTTTTGATGTGTTTTGCCGCCTGCCACTGATTCAGCACAAGATGAGGAGACCTAAAGTTAGCAAGCTCGCAGCAGCCGTGTCCCTGTTTGCTTCCCGTTCTGTGGGTTCTGCATTGTTTGCGTTGCGGGGGAGGAGAGGGATGCTAATTAACGTGAAAATTGTTTGCTCTCCTTCACTCAGTCTTTCTCGGTGTCTTAATCTCTCTTTCTTGCTCCTCTCGCTGCCATGTTCCCTGTGGGGACAGATGAAGGTAGTGCCATTCTGTTATCTGCAGTGCCAGCACAGATACCCCCACGAGCGTTCTCCAGCCACAGAGCAGAACAGAAGAGATGCATTAAACATCAGCGTTAACAGCAAACAGATGCATCCACATACTCGTGTCCAGTCTTCCAGCTCTTTCTCACCTTTAGGCTTCCTAGGCTCTTTAAAGCAGACAACCCCCCCCAAACGTTTCAGATCGAGCAGAGTCAGGGTCTTCTCCAACATTTCTGAATAATTTTAAGCTTTTTTTCCTTTCATGAATGTTTAACAAATATGAATGTTGTCTCTAGCTGTGCAAATTGAGTGTTTTCTTCCAGGCCTGGAAAAGCCCTGGAGAATGTGAAATTTCATAAAAACTTTTTTTTTTTTTGGAAATGCAATGAAAATGTATTCTCACTTTCTCCCTAGCTGTCATGTTTTTAATTTTAAACTTGGCTGCTGCTAAAGCAAGCGGTCTTTGAAGTAATAGTGACCTGAATGACAAATTTCTTGGCTACCAAACTGGTTGAGTAGAAGAGGCTAAAGAACTGCCACAAAAAAAATTTGCAACATTTTAACATTTGCACACGGGAGCACATTCGTCATGGAAATATTAGTGCAGTTTTGGCTTCTTCTTATTTGGAAGTCTGACACTACACATCATATAACCTACATTTCTCACTCCTGCAAAAGGAAAGCAAAAAGTTTTTTTCTTTATACTTTATCTTAGGGCTGCTCGATTATGGCAAAAATGATAATCACGATTATTTTCACTGAAATTGAGATCTCGATTATTTGACGATATTTATTTAACCCTTTAAGACCTACTATAGAACCAAGTCCGCCAGAGCTTATATTATTTTTTTACATGTTGTAGTGCCATTTGTGGGAGCATTTCAAGTTGCTATACATCAATACAACTGTTATAGCCCATATTTTAATAATATGTATGCATTAAGTCCATAGTAACTACATTAATTGCAAAAAAGTGCAAGAAACTACAAAAAAAAAATTGAAAATCATTTTTGGGTTTTTTTTTACATATATTTCTACTTGGAGAAATTTAAGAGGCTTATCCTTCAAAACTTTAAATACAAAAAAGTTGCAAAAAATAGTTTCCAACAGGAAATTTATTTTGAGTGTCTTCAAAGTTTTATTTTGGAGATACACCAATTTTTATATACTGCAGGAAAAACAAAAAACAATCCTATGATACAAATTTGCAAAGAAAACAGCAGGTGCATTAAAATAAACTATTTCCAGCAGTGCAATTCGAGTTCTAAGCATCGCAAACTATTCAGAAAAGTCAAACATGACCAGTATAGGCTTTTAAGGCCTACGAGTAAAAAAAAAAAACTACAATTTCCGCAAAAATGACGTCACTTCCGGTTTCGGCAGGAAATGGCGGATATGCGGTAGTTCGCGCTGAGTCTGTTTCAATGTGGGAAGTGTTACGAACAGCTGATCGGATCGGCAAAGCGTGTTTCTGGAATATTGTGTTTTTGTTCCTGCAAGCGCTTTTTATGGAAGGAAACCGTGACCGAGAACAAGCTGATGGCATCAGATGTAAGTACAACTCCTCCGGGTTATTGCGCTAGCTTACACGGTTCAGGTTCTACAGGGATTTAAAAATAGTTACACAAATCGGAGCGTGCTGCTCTGACCGGCTTTAAAGGGTTAACAATGACTTTAAAAAAATAATATAAAATAGTGTGCAACACCACTGAAGTTTTTTTACCTCTCTTTTCAACCAGCGGCAGTCACTCTCCTCTCCAAATAACTTCTGCTTAGCTTTCCGAGCTTCCCTCGGGTCCTCTTAATCAGCGGTCTCCAACCTTTTTTGCGCCACGGACGGTTTATGTCCGACAATATTTTCACGGACCGGCCTTTAAGGTGTCGCGGATAAATGAGGGAGGGGCTAATAATCGTCTCCGTCATTTTTAATGATCGTTGAAAGCCCAGATCGTAATCGTGATTAAAATTCGATTAATTGAGCAGCCCTACTTTATCTTATATACAAAGGAAAGGTTTAGCAAAGGTGTGTACAGAAGTAAGACCCACAGAGGTTACATCTGTGTCTTGGGGAACTGATGGTACTTGAATAGATAATAAGCAAAATGACATAAAACCACTTTAATATCCTGTTCAGCCAGATGCAGATATTTCAGCGTTAGCACTGAGTTCTACAGCTCGCAGCAGTGTGGGCTAAACAAGAGAGAGACGGTGTTTTGAAGTAACTACAATCTGGCATAAAGAACAAGGTCAAGGCACGGCAATGAAACTGTCAAGTGTTTGAGACAACATTCAACTTGTTTAACCTGCAGTGAGATCGCACTTGTTCTGCTCTGGGAGCTACTTTTTATTTTCGTTCCTGTGGAGACGAGAAAGTAACAGAAGAAAATGTTCTAGAACACTGGCTGCACGTCCACCCGGCGCGGTGTTTACTTCTTAAAAAAAAAAACTCGACTTAACCTCATAATGGTCAGTGCGGCACTGAGGCCTGATGTCCTAGAAAATTTGGCTTCCCATGGGGGAGACTACAGACACATCTCTGTTGCTTGATAGCTAATATTAAAATAACTTGGGCTATCTGGTGGGCACCTCTATCCGGCACGGTTTCTTGCATATATTTTAGCACATGGCTGTTCCCAGTGGAGGCTAAAACCCTGGTGCTAAGAGTGCTTTGCTCCCTTCGCTGCATATGAATAAGTTCACGAAGTCACTGAGTGTAGGTATAGCTAATAATCGCTGCTTTGAGCTCATCTTTTGTGTTACAAACAATATTTGAGCGAGCAGACAATCATCGTCGTGTTTAACCTGTTCACATTTTTCTTACAATTGATATCCTAAGTACCTGTCAAATCTAGTAAAGTCAACAGCACCTGGCTCCAAATCTAATTTGTTATTGCTTGTTAAGACACACTTATCTTTGGAAAGTGACACTCTGTTCTTTCCATTGGAAGTCCTGCTCGAGGTAAACACATTAGAAATTTTGTAAATGACAGGAAACCTGGTGTGTTAAGTGGGGCTAATCATGTGTTTCACATATTAAAATATGGTGTTTGCTCTGCCACCTATGAGATCCCCAATGAAAGGAAGTTTGTGGTGGGTTTCATTGCTGCTTTAATAGCTTAACAAATGCAAGAATTTTCAAACTTGAGCTCTAGAAGGTGTAAAACACTGATACAATCGCCCACTTAGCAACATTAATAGACAAGACTGGCAATATTTGGTATTTTTAGTAACAAATTCTTTTATCAGCTTTTGTCTGTGCAGGGTGACGCAAGCTGTTTCTGTCCTACAGACTCGCATTGTTGTCTAAAAATGATTCGGCACATCAGCGAGTGACATGTTCATATTTAAACTGTTACTGTTACTGTAAAGTCACCTGGACATGTCCTTGTTTTGGTTTATTTAAGTTTAAATTCACCATAAAAGGGGAGAAAGCTGAATGCATGCACAAGGAGAACAAGTAGGGTGGATTCAAACTCAGGACCTTCCTGCTGTGAGGCAACAGCGTTAACCACTGTGCTGCCAAGCTGCCCAATTCATGAAATCATTCATTATAAGTCATTAGTGGTATTTAATCAAATATCTTTATCAATCCACTTTGGTTATGGCACAAAGGCTATTTAATTACTACAGGAATAAAAGCAAAAGCATTTCCAATTATGTTGGCACTGCTGGAAACCGCAGTAGTACATCGGCTAGTTAAGGGTTGTTTGAGAACGGTAAAGTCTTAGAATTATAAAAGGACAGCTATCATTTCAGTTTGCATGGCCATGCCCCTGTGTATGACTGATTGGTGCCAATTTCTCTCTTCAGGAGGACAACAAACTGCAACAAAGTGTCCGTCAAACAAGTGCAGCTTCGTAAAGCAGCAGGGCAAATGTCTCCAGATAACCTTAACAAATTGCTAGCTAGAATGACAAATGCCCTATTACTGAAAATACTCATTAGAGCACCTAATGCACATCAGCCCACAGCCTGCAGTAGTGTCGTTCAGAGTAAGATTTGCCTTAGAACGTATTGAGAATGACTAATCTGTATCTGCGTGTTAACAAGAAAAGCCGTCTTTGAAAGCACCACAGAAATTCCCAACTTTAAAAATGTTTGCCAACATAACGGTGCAGCAGCAAGGATGACAGATCCACATGGAGCTTATGTGAATCAGCAACACGGAGTCACCCATGCGACATGTCATGCTCGGAGAGATTAATTATTAATATCGCAAAACACATTTTAAAAATCGCATTTCACCTCACTTTGCAGTGTGTTAGCATGGTTGTGCATTTAAAATGATTAGCGATTTGTTTCTTAACAGAGGGGAAATGTAATTTGCTTGGGACTGAGGCATTAAAAGACTGGGTACCAGCAGGCTGCCCACCCTGGGCCAAGTCTGGGTGGATGTGTGGGTGCTGAATGAATCATGCCACTGCCACCAAGGAGACTTAAATTCTCTCCTGCGAGACAGACGAGTTTGACTGAAAATGCACATCAGAGTGAAGACGAGCTTTCACTCGGGGCTGTTTTTTTTTCTTTCTCCTCTCTGTCTTTTTTCTTCCTCTACATCAGAAACGTATGTCTTCACAGATGTACCTCTGTCAAGTCACCAGCTGACAGCTTCCTTAGGTTTTGTTTGCTTTCCTGGACGAATATCTTAACACTAGAAATCAAAATCAACCAGAAGTAATTCAGAACAACTGCGAGATCTCGACTTTCAGCACTACCACAATCAGCATGCAGCAGCAGAAAGTGGGCAGCAGTGTTATTTGCACCTGCTGACCTTGTTCTAAACCATTTACCTGATTAAAGCAGAGAGGTGATTTGTGTCGTCAATCCCAGGTCTCTTCGGTCAGTATCTCAACCTTGCGTGTCGCACCAGCTCCCACAGTCAACTAACTCTCTCCTGCTCCCTCTGCCCTCCCCGTCGCGCCTTTCCTCTCTTCTGCTGAAGCCGCAGCAGTCTAATCTTTGCATTTCACCACTGGCTCTGTGCTGAGCCTGTCCCAGTCGCACACCAGTTTGTCTGTTCTTTCCTCCCTTCTGCTTTTTTCTTATTTTTTTTCTCCCCCTCCATTGTCAGTGCTAAAATGACACCCTTGCCTTTCTTGTACCTAAAGTTCTGTGTTTTCAGTGTGCAGTAATCAGGTTTATTAATATTTTATTAATGTTTTGTTTGACGCCATGTGCAAACAAAACAAAAAACACCTTTCTTCTTTCATCTCAAGAACTCCTCTAAGATGAAGTGGACCTCAAATGTATGATCCATGTGTGTTGTAGTCAGCAGCACCTACTTGCACATAATGGGAGTTAAGTGTGTTGATGTATCATTTGATAACTCGTCATATTTCTGTTATTTCTCTGTGTTTTGGTGCCCAGCGTTTAGCGAGCCACAGAAAGAAATAAAAGCAAGACTATCCTCTTAACTATGGACGCAACAACACACACACACATGCACACACACTCTCAGGGTTCTCTGCGTTGGCTCCAGACTTTGATAGGAACCTAATGGCCACTCTTGCATATGTTTGCAGCTGGAAGTGGATTGCAGCACATCACAAATGATTCTGTTTTTGTGATCATCATCTCACTATTGAGCCTCTCAAACACATCTGCAGGTTCGGACGCTGGCACAGAAAGTCTCTCAAAGCACGCGCTCGGTCTTTCACCCTTAAACACGCACTCAGAAGCACTCTTTGTTCATATATGAGGCAGCTGGCTGCTCACTAGCGCTACGTGCCCTCTGAGCTGAGTGATTGTCCTTCAAACCTCACAATGCAACGAGTGGCTGCGCTTTTTGTCCGCTGCATCTTTAAAGCTTCAGACGGGCGCACGGATGACTGCACGTGCACGGAGTTGGGTCAATATCATCAAATCCAAATGTCAATTTAAGCTGCAGCCTGTTAACTTAAGACAAATCATTCTCCATTATTATCCTGTGACATTTGTCCTCATTGGCTTCACTGTGGAGCCCAGAGCATTTCTGTCTTCAGATTCGATCACTGTAATTGGTTGGAAAAGAATGTGACATTGACCCCAACAGGGATATGCACCGTGCAGAGCGTGCACTCGGCTCTCCCTCTGACACATGTTTGTGTTTTTACACAAATGTCCATCTGGATGAGCGTCTCGCGTCGCATTGACAGGACGGGTGATGGATGATTGACAGAAGCACAGATTGTGGAAGAGTCTGCAGTGCAAAAACAGAACTTGGGTCATGCAAACTTTTGAAATTATTGAGCTGGGTAATAAGGCCCTTTATGAATATTCAGCTATATTAATATAGCAGAAATATCCGGGGTCAGATATGTGTCTTTGGACCTCAGTGGGCAAAATCTTTACCCACATGATTTAATAATTTCTCCCTCATTTTCTAACAATGTAGGCGGCGACCAAAGGCTGTTTTCTGCTTTAAGTTTGAAAATGAGCGATGGAGCAATTCATTTTTTTCTTTTCTATCAAAACCCTCCAACCAATCACGTTTTTGAGGAAGAAAAATAATTGTATGAACAAAAATGTTAAACTAATGTCTAGAAAAATAATCAGGCAAACACTAACCATTTGTATACTGCATCCAATCAAGAGCATTTTCTAGCGTCACTTGAAATGCGCCTTCTAATGACATTAATTCAAATGGAAAGTCACCAAAGGGATCAGACGAAATTAAAGCCCTTCCACTACCAGGTGAGTTTCCTAATTTAATTGAATCTAATTTAATATTAATTCATATTCACATTAATGTTTTATGTTAATACTCAATTCGTTCACATATTTGCATGAATGTAAAAAACTTGTAATTTTAATGGCAGTTGTAATAGTACAAATTGTAATTTTACTTTAAATGAAATTTATGTTTGTTTTGCTGGAAGATGTCATGTTATAGTTTTTAGTCACAAATGTAATTTATTTTAAATGTTTTCGAATTAAGTCCCAGTGTTTCAGTCTGGTTGATGTTTTCACTTTGATTGTGTGATTGAGACAGCTGGTACAGAGGAGGTCCATTCAGTGTCGAGGTCCCGCGATTGCAAACCCAAATCTTCACCCCTCCACCACAATGCTCGATAAAGTGACAACACCATACATGGCTCTGTGCAATGCCCAACATTTCCACTTTGTTCTTGTCTGTTCAAACGGGATCTGTCCAGATGTTTTGTAGAGGCCCGTAGAGACTCTTGACTCGTTGGAAGATAGTGGCATTGTGTTAAAGCATCTGAATGCTTCGGAGCCGCACACCACTGAATCTTCTGCAGTTATGATCTTGCTGAAAGTTTCTTATGAGCATTTTATTAGCAGCATGCCTGCGACTCCCCCTCTTAATTCCTATGCAAGTAGCAAGGTTGTGCTTAGTTTATCACAGGATTGCACAGAGTTCTGTAAAAACTGTACAGCAATTTAGGTGAAATTGGTATTGATTATTTGCATTACTAGATGGTTCCTGTCTGGTATATCTACCTTGTTTAAAGCTCTTCTCATCTGTTTCCCCAGGCAGTCCTGGAAGGAACAGACCTCCTCTGTCCAGACTCATCTGATAAGCTGAAAAACGCTCCGGTCCGATGAACAGAATCAACTTCTGGAGATTTACTTGTCTTGATGCACGCTCATCCAGGTGTCAGCTGAGACTGAAAAAGCCACTTGGATGAGTGACGAAACGTTTCTCCCACTGAAAACGCTACGTCTAGATGAACAAAATCGACTTCTGGAGATTCTAATTCTAACTAATATCAAACAGTTAAACAGACTAAGGTTGCTTATATGGAGCGATCGTGGCTCAAGAGTTGGCAGTTCGTCTTGTAATCGGAAGGTTGCCGGTTCGAGCCCCAGCTTGGTCGTTGTGTCCTTGGTCAAGACACTTCACCCGTTGCCTTCTGTTCGTGGTCAGAGGGCCCGGTGGCGCCAGTGTCGGGCAGCCTCATCTCTGTCAGTGCAGCTGTGGCTACAATGTAGCTGCCATCACCAGTGTGTGAATGTGTGTGTGAATGGGTGGATGACTGAATGTAGTGTAAAGCACTTTGGGGTCCATAGGGACTGAGTAAAGCACTATACAAATACAGGCCATTTATATACTGTCAAGATGCTGTATGGTCTACATTCTTTTATCAATAAAAGAAAAAAGTAAACGTGCCTGTTTGTATGGTTTTAAACAGTTTGGTGGAAACCAGCTGCTTCCGTGTTTCTCTAAACACACACTAACACTGGTTCAGACCCAGTGTAGTGTTTGCCCACAGATTACTTCTTGTGGTGTGCACTGACAGGCAGATTCACTTTCACCCTTTAGGAACACCTGAAAAAGAGAAGCAGAGAGAGATACTGAACACTCATCCAAACCTGGCCTGTCTGTCCTAAGGGGCCTCCCCCAGCACTCAGCAGGTGCTGCTGCCTGTGCTGTGCCAGATCTCCCCCCCCCCCACTCTCTCTCCTCTCCGAGCTTTTTAGTCCTCACTTTCTTTCTGTCTCTGGATTTCTGCCTTCTCATATTCTGAACGTGGGCTGCTGCAAAACTGCCTGTTTACCTACTGTCTTCTCTTCTTCTGTCTGCGTTATCTCCACATTTCTAACCTTCTCTTCATCTTCACCTCTGCCTCCTTTCCTCACAGCATTGTTTTCTTAACTTCTCGCCCCTTCTTCCCACCCCTCTCTTGCTTTCTTCGCGATCTTTGCATCGATATTCATCTAGGCCCGGTCATCAGTGAGGAGCGAGAGCGATACAAGTGTAAGATGCAGCAGATAGAGTGCAAGAAGCACCTTGTGGCAAATCCCTCCTGGTGTGTCTGTGAGAAGCTGAAAGCCCCTCTGCGTCCCATTAATAATAAATCACTGAGATCAGTAGATTTGACTCGAAGCCTCCACTCCTCCTCCTCACCACTTTCCCTCACCTGTAATGAGTTGGGAGGAGGGTACGAGGAATGTGACCAAGGCCACAACACGAGGGGAAAAAGTCCCAAGAGGAGGGCAACGTTTTTGTTTGTTTGTTTCTCCTCCCCATCTGATCAGCCTCGTGTCTACCCCCTTCCTCTACGTCTAGCACGTTTGCGTTCAGGGCTGCTTTTTTTCCCTTAACAATGAGTTTTGGCAGGGTTATACAAGCAAAAGCAAAAAAGCTCGCAGGACAAAAGATGATGTGGAATTGGAGTTTTCATGCTGCGGGCCTCAGCTCAGGATTGTCTGAAATATAATGCGACTTGTTGAATAGCTCTCATTTCTGCAGTTTATTACCTGGTGAGGTTCGATGGTGCAAAAACTCAAACTGCGTAGGTTTTTTTCAAAGGAAATCTCTTCCCTTTCCATTAATCAATTTCTAAATCCTATTCCCTAAGAAGCTTTTTGTTTTCATCCTTGAGTTTGTCGCTACCACCTTAATCCGAATGACATCTAAGGCAGATGGTAAGACACTCACAAACTTGCATTTAGCAAGTTCTGTGCTTTGGTATTTTCAGTAAATATCAGCCCTCACATTGCAGCCCCAGTGGCCAAACGTACAACATTAAATGATTATTTCCACAGCACGATTAATCATCCTCTTATTGAACTTCCAGTTTCAAAGAAGCACAATTCTAATTAGCTTCACCCTGTCATCTTAACAAGCTCTAAGGGATGAAACAATAACTGAGGGTGGCCAGTTTAATTATCAATTAATTAATTAATTCATAATTCGCATTGGGGAAGTCAACAGGGCTGTGCGAAACTGTTATGCGGAGTGAACGGACTCTATGGCAGAACACACAGAAGCGCAGAAAATGCAGGGAGTGCTCTTTATTTACAGTGTCAAACTTATTTACACGGGATGAGATATGTACGCTGATAAATAAACCGAAGGAAACCAGGGGAGGGGGCTGACACGCATTCGGAGGGAAAGGGGTTACCTGCGCACGCAGGGTGGATGTATGAGAAAAAGAAAAACGAAACTTTAGGGGGAGATGCCAAACAACCGGTAAGAAACGGCAATAAACATGGGGAGAGTTGGAGAGCTCACTTGTCACACTGGCTGTACAGGCTCGGGCGAGGATTCTCGGGATGTGGGAGAAACGCTGAGATTGATCTCTGTAGTGATCCCGGAAATGCGGCTTCACAAACAGCTGACAGGTAAGCGGGTGATGGATCCGGCTGAGGATACAGGACAACAGGTAAACAAACAAAATCCAAGACATAGGTTGGCCGTAATGCACACCGCGGAGAATTAACAGACACGTTACCACTCGGGGAGGTGGCAAGAGGTGGGGAGGTGTGCTGAAAACAGAAGCGGACCCCGTGACACCACACCAGAGAAACCCCACCAACTCCTAATAGTACCCCCCCCCCCCAGGACCGCTCCTCAGGCCCGTACCCCTCCCAGTCCAGGAACAAGTGCAGCCCACGGCTTTGGTTGCATGCTTCTCATTCTGCTTTCTTAGACCGTATTTGGTTTTGCCCTCGTACCGAAAATAACCGCTGCTTCCATTGTTAGAGCAGAGAGTAAAGAAATGATCTGGAGCTGCACAGATTATACCCAAATTTGTATTCTGTGACATGTTCAGGTCCTCATTTTATTTCAGGTAGGTTAGCCTTTCTTTGAAGGGTCCCATCACCCGCAGCGCTGCAGGGTTTAGTGGCGACAAGTGCATGGCAGAATAGGACCTCTGAGCAACTGCTGATTAGTGTGTGTGGTTCAGCGGACAAAACTTATCAGTCGTAGCGAAAATGAAATGCTGTTTGGCTAGTGAGCAGGTTTCATTTCCCACCCCGGAGTAAAAGCCAGCAGCAGGCAGACTGCAGGATTAGTATTCAGCTGGCTGTGGACAACAGAACCAGTGTGCTGGTGTTTGCCCTGTGGCTGTTGTCTTGCTGTCAGGTTAGCCAATGACACGTCAGAGCTCACCTCTCTGGCCTCAGCAGCCGATGGCTATAATACACTTCGCCTGGCTCTTTTTCCGCTTTCCACTCTGCCACAAATAGACGGCATCCATCTTTTTTTTTTACCCGAGACACTCAAGAGCTTTGCACACAGTATTCTTTTTTTGCCAGCGTTTTAGCGTCTTCTGTTATGTCATCAAACTTTGGACTGCCTTATTATGGACTGAGCAGCTAAACTTTTTTAAATTCAAGCTAGAAGTGAGAAAATTCCACATTTCTAAATGGAACAACATTGAAATATGCTCACGATGTTCTCATTTTAGAATGCATTTGAAGGTAAAACTGCGATATAAGTAATCTTTTACTCTAGAATAAATGTCTGTCTGATATTTTTGCCTGAAATTAATCTTGTTTAAAGTAGGAAAAGCATTAATAGCATCCAGAAAATGTGAATAATGGCATGCTGACACTCTTTCTAAACATCGGGTGCTGTGAAAAAGTGTTTTCCCTCTTCTTGATTTCTTAGTTTATTGCACATTTTTCATAAAAAATTTTCAGATCATCAAGCAAATTTTAAGTACTAGTACTGGACATTCACTAACACGGTATCAAATATCATAAGAATCCATACCAAATGATCTTTTTAAAACATTTTATTTTATGTTTTTGGAGCTGTAGTTTACAGTCTGTTCCATAAATCACTGTCAGTGTCAGAACAATACTTTCTGCTGTTTTTAAAATTCAACTTACCGGTAATTACAACTGAATACGATGAGTTTGATGAAACTGGTGATTTTAACCTGAATATTTGGTAAAATGTTAATTAGTTTCGGGTCTTGTTTTAAAGTGACTTTTTGCTCATCGCACTAATTCAATTCAAACGGTTTTGTTTTCAGGAAACTGAAATAATCATTTAATGTGTTTAGAGAGTCAGTATTTTTTTCCTTCGTAAACTTTCAAACTTTGATTCCGTCACTTTTCATTACACGTTAGATATCTGAGGAAACTGGATAAAAGGAATCGTACTGGTGAGTTCCTGCTACAAAGTTGATTTAGATCTTTTCCCCATTAGGTGTTTTTCAGCAGAGGGAACCTCCCTTGAACATGCCATCAGAGTGATTCTCTTTAACCTGCTTTACCTGGCTCGCTCGGTGCTCTTAAAAAGCATGAAAATAACCGAGACAGATCTCACAGGAAGTAGCAATCTGCGCTGATTTGAATTAATCTCGACACAAGAAACAGTACTGTTAATGCAACTGTGTTGTTAGGGCAACATAAACTTCCTTGTATGTAATGTGTATGTGTGCACCGTTGAACCTGAAGGGTGCAGTAATGTAAATTTGTATCTGTAGCGTAGTAGGGTTAAGTTTACCCCACTATCAGTTGTCTGATGTTTTGTTTTGTTTTGTTTTTCATGTGTTCTGTACTTTGTGTCATTTTGTTAAGGGTATTGCTGGAGTCTGCTACACAAAGGCAAACAGATGCTCCGTTTAGATCACCATCTTCTAACTGTACAGGAATTCGCATAAATATAACCCCCGAAATCCGTAATCCGTTGGCTCAGAGTTGCTTTTATTGAGACGTTAGTGAAGGTGAAGTGCGATTGTCACAGGTGGCTTTGGTGAGGCAGCATCTGCTGGTGAATATTCTTTTCTATTTTCATTGAAAGTGAGAGATGCTGGTGTGACGTATGGGTTGAGGTGGGAGCTGAAGCTTGACTAACTTTCCCAGCATCCCTTGCAGAGGTTGAGATCAAATGAAGCACATTTCTCTGTGTCTGTCTCCGTCTGCTTCTCTTAGTTTTTGTCTCTCCGGTGTTACTTTCGATTCCTTCAGTCTTTGTCTCTTGCTCCATTTTCTCCTCCTTAACTCTAAACTTATACCATTGTTTAGACTTCAGCTTACACTTTCCAATCTGTCTGTGTTTCACGTTGTCTTTCACCATCGCTGTCCATTTTCTTCATCATTGTCTTTCCTTCTCTTCTTGTCCTTTGTTTCTCTCTCCTTTTCCCCTCCCACCCTGCTGAGCAGGGAAGCCTTTGATGTGAAGCCGATATCTATTCATGCAAGTCATTCATCAGCACCGTGTTGCTTTTAAAGCAATGAGCAGGAAGCCAGATCAATAAGATGGCTGAACGGATGGATCTCTTAAGGGGCTTCTTCAGCCCAGAGAGATAAGGGAATCTTTTTTTTTTCTTCTTTTTTTAAATAAATGGCACTTTAAAGAGTCACACAGGGTGGGCGGGGGCTCAGATGGGGTCGGGAGCGATGAATGAAGATCTGACGCTTCACAGCCACTATTAAAATAGGCAAAGGCATTTAGATGGAAAAAGTGGTAGAACGTTGGAGAAAACCCTGCGAGGGGTCTGACTGGAAGGCCCTGTGTCTGAAGAAGTTACGCTTCAATGTGGACTAATTAAATCCACTTCAAAGCCCAGAAAGTTTATTCACAAATATTCTTTATGCGATAAACACTAGCAAAAAAAACTACACTTGAGACAATAAAGCATAAATGTATTTATGAAAGTCAAAGCCAGGAGTTTTCAGTCTTTCAGACAGTTAGCTGTGAGCCCATTAATCATTGAGGACTCAGTCTTGTGTTGAATACTGCAGTACATAGAGACCTGGAGGCCGATATGCCACGGTGTAAACTAGAAACACGGCTTCACTTACTTTGTACTGTTCTGTATTTTTAAATTAGATGTGACACATAGTGCCATGAAGCTTGCCAGCTTTGTGTCTCTGATAGAAATGCCTTTAGCTAGGACAAAACACCAGAGTATGCTCCTTTTTTTTTTAAAGTTCTAACCTATGTGGACTTTTAAATTGACCCATATATGAAAATAAATTACGTGAGACTTAATATTTAATCTCACGTATCTCTTTTCTTAAGGCTAGATGGGTTTTTTTGTCTTTTTCTCCCATCCTGGAGGAAACTGTCACGAATCACTCATATTTAGGCATTTTGCCATCGTACTTCTGATAGCTTTGACTCAAGATCAGCAAGAGCCGTGACAGGCTGAGAGTGAAGCTGAGTGCTAAAGATGTTGTCCCTGATGTGTTTACACGTGCGCGCACACACACACACTCACTCCATCTTGTCTAAGTACACGTCTGGAAGCCAGGGAGAGCAGACGCGCACACACACACTGATGCTAACAAACCATGTCACCCAGCCATGTCACCACAATCATCATCACCTCAAGGTGTTTTTCTGTAGAGCGTAAATAGCGCTAAGCGTTTTGATTCTTTGTATATTTTATTTGTGTGTGTTTGTGTGCGCGTGTGTTGAGGGGGGAGGGCGGTTCTTGAAATGAACCAAGAAAAACACATTATGTGTTCAAGAAAAAACATGAAAAAACATTTCACAAAGTGCTGAAGAATGAAAGGAAGCGAGTGTAGAGTAAAACAGAACAGAAACATAACAGGATGACAAAGATGGTGCTTGATGCCAACACTTGGAGCTCGAGGGCATAAAATGGAATGGTGGTTGAAGACCGTCTGTGTGTGTGTGTGTGTGTGTTGTTTAAAAGTATTTAAGCAGAAAATCATCATGTGTGACCACCCTCCTAAACAATCTGAAGAAAAGCGCAAAGTGTACATCCGTTTTCTTTTTGCTAACCTTTTGTTTTTTAGCTTGTTTCTTTTGACGTTTAGCACGATCACTTTGTATCCCGTTAAGAAGTGACATCATCAGCTGTTTTTCTATAGCTGAGAATGTATCGTTTTGATTCTTTTGATCTTGAAAAAAAGGACTAATTCCAGTAAAATGAAAATTTGTGTAACTTTGTCAGCTGCCCATATTTGTCAAGCAGTTTTCCTGGATTTCCAGTACAGATGGAAAAGGCTGCAGTGATGTGTCAAATTGACTTCAAAGGTTGTGCGTATTGTGGCAGATTCATCGCTTATGATAATTAATCTTACCCTTCGAGTTTCAGACCTGTCGCTCTTTAATGCTGTTCAGTGTGGGCTGGCATCACCTCGTTTTATTTTGCTTTATTTTCCTCCCCTACTTGCTGTCAGTTTAAAATGCACACATGTATATGTTTGATGTCAAAAATCTGTTTGTTAATATATTTATCGGTGACAGAAAATAAAACTCGTAGTCAAATACTTCTTTCCTATAAAGTTAACATCAAACCATCCTTATAGCTTTTGATGAGAAGACAAAAGCTTATAGGTTTTGTCTTCTCATCGCTTCATTTATCTGTTTTTATTTCTTTTTTTAATATATTTTGGACTCATCTCTTCCTCTGTCTTTTCCACCCACAGCTGCTTCCTGTCCCTGCTCCTGGTGGCCGCCGTAGTTTGGAAGATCAAACAGAGCTGCTGGGCGTCACGGCGGCGAGAGGTAAGCGTTTGACTCCATGCTTACAATTGATTTTAAGCTGCCACAGTCACATCAACTCATTTCTGGTTAAAGTTATTGCTGCTGTAAAAGTTGCTTTGTTTTGTGGATTTTCCAGTGGAATAAATATATCAAGTTCGTTTTTGTCCACAATCACAAAGAAGTGTGATTGCATTGATTCTGTCATGCACTATATTGCCAGAAGTATTCCCTCATCAGTCTTCACACACATATAAACTTGAGGGACGTCCCGTTCTTAATCCATAGGGTTTTATTATGTCGGCCCAACTCTTCTGGGAAGGCTTTCCACGTGGTTTAGAAGAGTGTTTATGGGAATTTCTGGACATTGTTCCAGAAGTGGATTTGTGAGGTCAGAAACTGATGATGGACTGGTTCGTGGTCTCCACTCTTGTGTTGGACTGAGGTCAGGATCCTCTAGAAACTATTCTAGAGGTTGTCAAACCACATCTGTATTGATATACATACTGAGCTGTCAAAATTGATCATGAAGGATACAGGGGAGGTCGTCTTTATAGGGGAAAGAGTTAAAGCAATCGACACTACAGGCAACTTCCAGGCAACGCTAAACTCTTGGCTCCTTCTAGTATTATCAATGTGCACACTAAGTCATTTGAATCACAACAGCCCTGCAACCATTAAGTGTTTGGTTGTTGTTAATGTATTGAGGCAGACATTCATCAGTGGTCTTTCATAAAGCAGCAGGTATTAGCAGTATTATGACTCCAGTATTTAGAGTCATGCTTGCCCCTGTCTCCTCAGGACGCAGAAATAATCAGGAGAGAATATTAAAAGGATCTTGGGTGTAATGCATTTTTAAACTTGACTTGTGTAGTCACTCATATTTCAATTAACCTTGGGTTTTATATCATTATAACATATAACATATCATCACGTGTTGATTGCAGTGGTCCTTTTGGTTTAAAGTAACTGCTAAGACTAATGAAAATGTGCAGTCATGCTGCAAGTTACAAGTCATTGCAAAGTCATCAGTGTCCTGTTAAGCAACAAGTAATCTCTACAGTTAGAAGGATTAAATGAATACGTTTTCAAAATCATTGTTCAACATCAGACATATAAATAAACCTTCACTAGCTGGCTGAGGAAGAGTTGGATGGCTTACTAGTTAATTATCAGCAAGAATTCAGATTGCTTTTAACTTGTCACATCTCTCTCTGTAAGCTCGGTGTTTGCATGATTAAGACTCAACAAATGCTTAACTAACAGTCTGGCCTGACTAGCTGTTCAGACAGATTGCCAAGCATTGCATTTGCTTTCTGCATGTGGAGCACTAGCGAGATGTGAGAAGTATGAAAAGTCAGTGCAGTTTTTGCATGTTGAATACTGCCTCGCTGGGAAAATGACAAAATGCTTTTTCACGTGTGCTTCCAGAAGGGTTTGGACCACCTTTTGAATGAGTGGCTGAAAGGTTGTGTACTGGTGGCACTGTGTTTCTGCATTTTATGTGCGTGTGTGCGAGTGCATATGTGTCAGTGTCTAAGAGCATACACGCTAATGTTGTGCTTAATGTGAACTTTTGGTCTGTGCTTTTTACACTCGTCGTGTCGGTTGAAGTGCCTTTTGCCTGTAACATCGTCCGAAAGTGCTGTAATCAGCCTCACCTATTGTGCCTCTTATCATCCCCCTTTTACCTGCACCCGCTCTGCCCTCTCTTCATCATAAAACCACAGTTGTCCATCTGGACGCTGTACACTCTAACCTTTACACAAAATTAAAAGTGGAACTTTGTTAAGAGGATTGGTGGCCACCTGAAAACTGTGGCCTGTGCTAAACTCCCCAACACCTGAAAAAGCTTGTAGGTTTCACTAAAATGTTTCACTTTTGTAGAATAAACCTGGGCTCATGTCAAAGTGATGGGGAAAATGGACTGCTGCATACCTGCCTACACAGTTTAAAGTTACCACCAAGGTACACAATGAGGTTTTTAACATTTGTCTTATAATGGGAAGATAAAGGATCCAGAGCACTGTCAATGTATTTACTCACAAAGTCAAATAAATCTGCAAGTCATGTGCAAATCAGTGAAATAAAAGGTTATGCTGGGGAAAAAATAGACCCCAGTGTCAACATGTGAAGTGCAAACAAGACTGGACCCGAAATTGAGCCTTGTGGCACACCTTAACTAAGAGGGACTATTTTGCATCCAAAGCATAACAGATCAGCTGTCAAGTACGGTAGAGGCGATACATGCCTCGACCGTATTCCTTTTCGACGTTGGTTGTGTCAGATGATGCCCACAGGTCAGTTTTAGCTCGTTTTTTGTGTGCTGTAGCAGAATAAGCAGAGATGGCCATCGTGGTAATGCTTTTAATTAATCTGATAATGAAACTGCAGTAATGTGAAAATGCATCGCTGAAATATCAATTATAAATATAAAATATTTATTTATAGATATAATAAAAGATCGACTTTTTTTGTAACGAGTCGTGACTTGTGATTCAATACATGCAGGTTTTATGTAACGAAAGAAACTAATGTTGAAAATCTCTCCCCATTCACTCAGATGAGTACTTTAATACATGTCAGATAACTGTCTGGTAATGTCACAAACATGACCTGTAGAAGAACTTTGGTTTTTGTCTTTATGTAAGAATCTCAGTGTATCACGTCTCCTTTGTACTTCATCATCTGAATACATTTAAAAACCTTGAGCAACAGTTATAAAAGTGCTCCCTTAATTTTGAACAGTGACAAGCTTTTAACTTTTTTTTTTAACTTGTCCATAACTCTGAAAGAGCCATATGATGATGATGTAATGCCAGTCATCTATTCATGATAGGTTAACTGGATAAATTATGCCCATTATACAGTACACATTTTTATTAAATGCCAGGTATTCTTGTTATTAATAATTGTTCTTTTCTATTCATCTATATTAGCGGTTAATCTAATTTTTTTAAAAACCACAGTTAAATAAACCTATTACAGATATTTTACCAATCAGTAGTTAATGGAAGATGGTAAACACTATACAGTTAACTCATTATATAAGCAAAGCAAAAAAAAAAGTTGCAATTTTAGTTGCAATCTGAGCAAATGAAGCTCGGTCCTAGTGCTAGTTGTGAAGTCACATTTTGGTAAAATGCTGTGAGATGATACCCCGAGTATCATCTCACCCGAGTCATACATTCTTCTGTGATGTGAAGAATCTGCAGGAAAGATGAGCCAATTTATAAAGATAGTAGTTGTTGCCAGGCAGAATCACAAATTTAGCTATGACATCACTGGCTCAGCAGCCTTTTTATAAACCACTGTGGGGGAAAATCCCCCCCCAAAACATTAGTTATATAGTGAGCTCTTCCTAGCACAGATGTCAAGCACAGATGTCAACTGAATTAGGATTGGGAAATGCTCAACAGGTTTGGGATCTAATACCCTCCTCTCTACAAAACCACTCAGAATAGTAAGGATAGAAATGTCATTATTATTTATTTATTTAAATTAAAAATGTTTGGACATGTTCTGTTCACTCGTGGAGTTTATTTTCTGCTGCTCATACACACACTCACCATCTCCTAAATTCTTGCCACTTATCTTCATCTAGTGTTCATAAGGAGTATCGTATAAACAAACCAAAGATGACAAATTTCCATCAAATGTGACTTAATCTAGCAGCACAGGCAACCTGCTTTCACGCATGCTCATGTTCCATGTGAACACAGCGTGACACACAATTCACGCAAACAGAAAGCTAATCATGTTTTTCCACGAGGTCGACTGTCTCCGTTACAGCCGTTCGCTTCCTTGACATCGAGACCGCTCTGTTCTTTCCAGCACTGTCCCTCAAGGCTTGGCTTTCACATTTATCCTTGATTCCTCCATGTTACTTGGTGCTTGCATCAGCTGTACAGTGACACACATTTGCATCTAATTATGCCCACGTTCACCCCACTTAGGCCCGACGCAGTGGAAAGTGGTGGCCGTTGCATTTTATGTGGTCATTGCAGGGTCAGAGGAGTTTAAGCCGATGGCCTCGAGTCCTTTTATTCCCCACCGCTGGCTGCTTGTCATTTGACTTTAAGGAGTTTAAGCTCATTGTGCTGTCACAGGCATTGTAAGTCGCTCGGGATAACAGTGTTAGCGCGAGCCCTATAATGCAAATGTCACTGAGACTTTTTTCCCTTTCTTTTTAAAGATGTGGCTGTTGGCACTGGGATTGAAATCAGCTTTTTTAGAATGACATGTTGAGTGAAACTGACTTTGAAACGTTACATTTATTCTTAAAAATGTGTTTGTTAAGAAGATTTTTATTAACCCCATCCAAAAACTTTAATAAAAAATGTATATTAGGAGATATTAATAGAGGTTCTATATATAAAGGTTACAAAAAGGGAACATTTTAGCAGAAACAGTATTTCTTTTTATTCTTTAGCATGACAAACTATAATCTCGCAGTTCTCCAAAATTCAACTTTTTCATTTGGAAGGCATCCAGGTGTTAATTTGGTGCCAGGAGTATTAATGACTCGAGGACTGTGTCTGAAGTTGCTGTTATTGTAGGCGTAGGCTAACACCTGCTAAGAATGTCAGTTCCACCTGTTGGTCACTGCGTGTGGCTTGTTTGTGCACGTTTCAAAGTATTGCGATGGATTTCTTTCCTCATGTGTGTCTGCACCCTGCATCTGTTTGCATACATGTGCGTGCTTGCGGTGTGTGGTCTGTAGTGTCTGAATCTAAATCAAAGCCTTCCTTTGAGACCTGACAGTTCCTTTGAAGGAAGCTGGAGCTGCCAGATGGCATTAGATGGACCCCACCACAGCCGGTACCATAGCGGGCTCTGGCTTTTTAGTCAGAATAAGCAGTGCTTGAGCAACGTTGTTAATGCAAGTTGATTATTCCTGTGGTAACGTTTTAGCAACAGCAGGACTTAAAT